ATTGTCAATGCGACATCGCTGATTGTCAGTACTTCTGACAGGAGTGGGTGAAGAATTGGAATAAAAAATATTTTAACAATGGAAGTTTTTTATATTCAACTAAATATTTGGTATTTAATGTTTCGCTTAAAATATTTCATATATTTATAAATAATTAAAACAACAGATAACCTATTATCTTATCTATCACTTTAATTATCTTGTATATTACTTTATCTTTTTATATATATATATATATATATATTATTTTTTTTTTTTTTCCTTTCTTATGTACATATTGTGTGAATGAATACTATAGCCCTAGTACCAATGCCATTCAGTGTGGCAGACTGTATTAATACTCAATAAAAATTTAAAAAAATATATATATATTTATAAATAGAAGCGTCTCTCCAAAATCTCTCGACCAACCAATCAACGAAAGGGTCATTGTCATCGATGCTTACAAGATTTAAAAATTGTATTTGAAACTTAGGCAAATGTTGTCAAATATTAGCAATACGTTAAATAGTTACAATTTTAACAAGACATCGTGATCCTAAACAAGCTTCATTAACGTCAGATCACACTGGAGTAGATAAACTACACGACCGCTATAAATTATGGAAAATTCGACTAAGCCACGATAAATCGAAACACATTATATTTACAATTCTAAAAAATACCTGACCTCCAATTTATATCAAAAAAAGCAAATTCCTCAGACGAACACCGTAAACTATCTTGGACTTACTTTTAACAGAATAATGACATGAGGCCTATATGTTAAAATGAAATAGAAGACCGTCAATAGACAACTTAAACTAGTTTCCTCACTTTTCAAAATCTTCATTACTAGAACTGAAATTTTTTTTAATCTATTTATTGAATAATAATACAATCAGCCACTGGAGGGCTATAAGTATTAGGGCTAAGAGTTCTCATAGAACTGAAATAGAAACTGAATACATACCTATATTACAGTTACTTAAACTGAGATGGACATGATCATCACGGATATACGTGGTTGCCAAAACGATCCACATAACAAAACATCAAACCTTCTAATCAACATTATTAGAGCTCATAACCAAAGCATTTTCGTACGTGACTCTTCATAAAATATTTCATACTAATTTAAAAGAACATACAAATAAGAGACACGACTTCAGCGGATACGTTCATCAATACGAGAAAGGCACTAAAAAGTCGCTATCTTCTTCCTTAATAAACCATGGTTATTAAATCAAGCCAGGGAAGGAGTGCTTCTAAGTACTATCCTTCCCCATGCACATAAAAAATAATCAGAATTAAAGGTATTAATTCAAATAACACTTAGTGGTACAGGGAAATGCTCATTAATATCGTGCTTAACAATTTAAGAAGTGCGTATATAACATGAACCAATGTTTTAATAAAATGTTGTGTAAAAAAATAGGTAGAAAATAATATAGTAAAGTGAAGTCTGCAAACTGTATTTTTACATTAACAAAATTGTTCATAAAGTCTTTACAAGCGTTTGAAAAAAGCGTTCTGATCATTTACCGTGACTGATTCCCTTTAAAAATTATCAAATTCTGTGAAAAAAAATTGTTTATTACTGCTTATAGATCGTGATCAAACGTCTTGTAAATTCTAATCTAGTATACTATGGATTAGTTATGAAAAAACTTCAAAGTAATTTATAAATGTAAATAAGGTAATGAGGCTATGGGACTCCTGTCAAAGCGTTTGCCTAGAGAAGACTTCAAAGTCTTCCCCTTACAGAAACGGGACTTGACTGCTCCGTTGTACGCACTGAAGCCCACTTTGCTTGATTAACTTTGTTCACTTACTTGCTGGCTATTTGGAATTAAATTGCGCCGTCGAAGGTGTGAGACAAACTGGCATATATTCTCGAAAATGAACCAGGAACTCCAAAAAGTTATAAATACTAAGAGACAACTTCCTTTAGGCTCATCGACCTGCGCGAACGGTGTCTAATCACTAACTATAAGCTAATGCTTAAAACCAAGATTATAATAAAATAATACAGTATAACCTTGCTTATCCGTTGCAATTGAGACCGAAGCATCGTCAGTTAAGCGGTTAAATTGGTTAATCCGGAACATGAAAAAATATAAAACTCGGATATTTAATCTAATTCCAAGAATATGGAATGACTAAAATACAATACGTAAATTAATCTAAAGGCATCCTTAGGAAAATATATGATTAATAGATTAGAAAAGTTAGAATTTGCCAGAATATTTATTAATTCATTCAAAGAATAATTTCGTCGTAAACCTACAACTTCTTGTCCTACAATATCCTTCAAAGATATTCCACTTGTTCCTGTTGAACAAATCCACTACCTAGGACTCCACTTGGATAAACGTCTCACTTGGAATCCGCATACTGACTAAACGACAAGACACTGCTCGACGTTTCCGACTGCTCCAACACTTACATGATAAACGCTCTAAACTTTCAATTAATTACAAAAGACTCATCTACTTAACCATAATAAGACCTATACGGACAAACGGAGTTGAGCTTTGGGGCTCTACCAAACCATCGAATTCCTATCGTATCCAATCTTTACAATCCAAAATCCTTCGTAAAATCCTTAATGCCCCATATTTTGTCACAAATAAAACCATTCATAAAGACCTTAATGTTCCATATCCCGCTGATTTAGCCCGAGCCAGATACCTATCCTTTCACGATAAAACCCAATCCCATCCGAATCCACTTGGTACCAGCCTTGCTTCTTCCTCGATTCCTGATAATCCCCCTAGGCGTCTGAGTGCTACCACTGGGGAGTATCTCTTCAAGTCTGTTCATGTCATTATTTCTAATGTGTGCATTCTTATTACTGTAATGTTTATACAGTTGTAAATTTCATTATATAAACAAATAAATAAAATAATTTAAGTGTGCAACCAGTTGTTTGGTTTTAACAGTAAATATCCTATAAATATTGTCAAAAAGTCATTAAATGACATTTCATAACCTCAAATAATTAAGATTTTGATGAATTTTCTCTTTTGAAATCAGAAAATTGTACAATTACTGTAACTATAATTGATAAATAAAAGGGTTTTGCGTTATTTCCAGGCACTTACTGAATTTTTGGATCAATAAATAAGGTCGAAATCTACAAAAACATATTTTAAAGTTAACCAATATCAAAAATACACTTAGTGATTTTTGCAATTAACCGAGGATATTCACGAAGTTTGTTTTTGATATTTATTTTTGCCGAACTTGATGTTATTATAATTAAGAAATATAAGAGAAAACATGGACAATGGCTCTTAAAAGCCTGAAATGACATCTATACCACGATCTGGTATAGATATTTCTCTATATTGCTTTTAATTTCTTCTATAGGGGTGTTGTCGTAAATGTCTTTTAATCACCACTCATATATTCTTATCCTCGTAGAGCTCTGCTGTATATACTATATGGAACTCATGTCTGCTGATTCTCAAAGAGCTAACAAGCGCTCGATACTCGCTTGGGGTATGATGAACAGTTACTGCTCAGGAAAGTAGCTGTGAGTATAAAAGAGTTTGGGCCTATCCCCCCCCCCAAATATGAAACAGCGTAGTTTTCTACGTTCGTGGTGAAGATCGGAGGTGAATTAGTGATGCTTTTAGATGGATTAGTGGATTCTATCTGCAATTATATTATTTTTTTTCCTATTGCCAGTTACTTAATACACTTACCTCCGTATTATTATAGTATAGTTATGGTTACAGTCTTAAGGGGAGCGGGGTAGCTCAGTGAGTGAGCACAGACTTCCAAGTTCGAATCCGGCTGATGACTAGTAATTTTTCATCAGTCATAGGTCGACCCTGGGGCCGGGAGACCCTCCTGCGGCACATCCAGCGTCTATAAAGTGGGTACTTTTAATTAAATAATTAATTAAGGGGAAAAACCTGGCGGTTGAGCTTGATATTGGCCCATCACCTTCTTGCACAACTGTTAGCCTTGCAACAGTACTTACTCACATTGCACTGAACCCAAGACCCTTCATGAGTTGTTAGTGATTCAGGTTATTTATTTATTTTAATTTTTTTTTTTTTAGTTACAGTCCATTATCTAGCTACGGTTGCTAGGGCATCGTTCATGACAGCGGTTAATCCTCAATCATAGATTCTTTTTCAAACACAAAGTTTTGATTCGCCCATTAATTTAAGAGAGAAACACATTATTTTCATATAAAAAGGTGCTGCTAAATTATATTGGGTTGCTAGACACACAGTATATTATTTCATCATCAGACAATCAATAAAACTGATATATAAAATAAATTAAATAAAATAACCCGAAGTGGTTTATTTAAATTTTTAGAACGAAAGTAAACTTAACTTCTATATCTGGCAAGCATTATATGATCTTTTTGTTCGTGGTATCTTTTTATCAAATTATTAACATCCCCCTGAAACTTTGTAAATAGCTTCATCTCACCGTAACCTGAAAATATTTTAATTACGAAAATTCGTTTTCAATTTGGAGATCAACGAACTTTGTCTATTTAATTAGTTACTAAAATCTTGTAAATACTCATTTGCTTGCCACTTGAATCTTAGGACGATTTCAGCAAAAATTCGAGAAAAAAAAAAGGTAGCCTACAAAAATATTGAGCCGTTTGGCGTTAGAGAATCCCAATCCCAATTAGACAATCCCAGAATTGTCAAAATGACGATGTTGTGTAGGCCAAACAGTCCAATATTTTTGTATACCACATGTTTTATCGATTTTGTGATAAAATTATCTTACGAACAAAGTGGAAAGAAATGTATATTTACGAGTTTTTAGTACCTATTTAAAAACACAAAGTATGCCGACCTGCAGATTAAAAACGCCCCAATTCGAGATTTCGTAAATAAAAGTTTAATACCCTAACCTGGTATACTAGCCGACCCATCCAAGCTGAGCAAATACCTTAAGTCGGCGAACATCTCCAGGCCTGGGGGCATATCGCTGGAGATGGAATATACTTGGGCGAACTTCGGACTGGAGAAATTTACCACAGACCTCTGCGGTGTGGGCTGATTGGCTGGCTGGAGCAACATCCCACCGCAATCACTCGATACCACCAGCTGCTCTGGCATCTTCCTTCTTCTATAGTGTAATTAATGGTTATTGGAAATTAACGTGTATATCCAGAGGATTGTAAAATATCACTAAGGGATAATGCTTTATTATGTCATTTGTTTTTAGTTTTGGAAACACTTTTATTGAGTGATATTATATTTCGTAGTACAGACTCATATTTTTATGAAATTATTAACATCTGTCAATAACTTTATGAATGGCTGCATCACATTGTATCTTAAAACTTTTTTATTTCCAAACATACTCGGAAATAGAGCGTTTTCAATCTGAAATTGGATAAACTTTGTCTACTTAAAAATAGGTAGAAATAATTATAACCCGTGGTACACACCCCTTTTCATTAAATTATTAACATCCATCTAAAACTTCGTGAATAGCTTCATAATGTCGTAACCTACAATTTTTTTTATTTAGCAAAATTCTCGGAATTGGGGCATTTTCTAAAGATCAGAATATGGATAATCTTTGTATATTCAACGATTTACTAAAAACCCATCAACATTCATTTGATTTCCACTTTAATCATAAGATAATTTGATCATAAAATCGAGGGGAAAAATAGCCCATTTAGTATTAGCAGGGATTAGTTTAATAATAAGAAGAAAATAAGTAAATAAGTATAGTATAAGAAGACAAAAAGAACAATTTTCTTATCTAACAAATATTATAAATAATTTTATTATTTCAAATATTCCCACATTATATATATTCCAAATATTTTTACTTGTCATATATAAATATTTTTATATAATAAATATCATAAATATACAATAAATACATGAGATATCATGTATGAATAAAAATACATTTATACCAAAGAAAGTTTACTATGCAGAACACAACTAAGCAAAACAAATAGCAAAGAGCTTAGGATAACCAACGCACATGTAGATACAAATAATAATAATAATATTTAAAAGGCACCCAAATTGTGAATAAATACACGTACGACTACGGACATATGAACACATACCTGACCTAATGCTGAGGGTTTGTACCTGTATTGATAGAGTCACAAACACTTGTAATAAAATAAAAAATTTAGTTCAACTGGTCAAGATTTCTTTATATCCAACACACACTCCAGCGAAAAATTATCTGTGGCAGGCTCTATATGTGTTGTAGGTATTTCCTTCTATGTGTCTCCAGAAACAAACCTGCATTATCAAGTGCTTTAAACCGTTATTGATAAGTTCAGTTATGTTAGATAATCTCCATAAAAAAAAAATCTTTTTGCACTAGTGATGGATATCCCGAAAATCAATTGTTCTAGTAATGGACAAGATATTTGACTGTAAAGATAACGATAAAGACAAGATAACATTTTTCAACTTACTCTTAGCAAAACTGTTAGTAGACAGATTTTCTTTTGGGAACTTTGTTAATACAGTTGTCAATAGAGGGCGTGGTTCTTCAATCTAGAATAAAACCTGGAACCTTTAAATCAAAAAGGAAGCTTATTATTTGCGTTTAAAGTCCAACCTGTACATCATTGGACCCTCTAGTGGTGCGTTCACCGTAAATATTGGGATGTTTGTTCTATATAACCTTGTTATTTTGATGGTTCAGATTCGTTCAGGGAAATACACACTTACACATTTAATTAATTCAGGCATCATCAGGACGGAAAAAATAAATAAATAACAAGATTGCATCACTCCCCAATATAGAAACACCTTTAACGTCGTAGAGTCATATGATCTTGGCAAAACATAGACTGGTTATTTGGTTATTTAACTACATTTCGGAGACGCAAGACTGTGTGGTTGGATATTTCAAGGTATAATCTAACACTATTTTTAAATATAGATAATTATATTTTTTCATGGTTTGAGTTTCTACATTTTCTCTACATGACATATTTTTATCTTTATCTCCTTTATTTATTCTAATATTTTCTGTGCCCCTTCCATATGTTATTGTTTATTTTTGTACCCCGGAAGTAAAGAACGCCATTTTTTTTTTTTTTTTGGATTTATTCGTGGTAGCCAATTTTCCATAATTTTGAGCTATTGAAATATATTTCTTAGTTAGTAAATTGTTTGGTAATGAAAACGGTGTCCTTTAACTCCGGAGCACAGATTTAAAGATTAATGTATAGCTTTTTATAAATGTATATTATCTAAAAAAAAACCAATATTTCAGCATAAATACAAAATAAATCAAGTTAATGATGACCGAAAATAAAAACAAAAATATATCAGTTTGAAATAAATTTAATTGAAATTATTAGTATTAATTTAATTAATTAAATCGGTTTCTTGGTAAAAAACAAAACAATCGTGTTCATGAAGGGTAAATTATTGATTTATGGTATCATTATAACAAGGATGCATCATAAATTAATGTGACCTTTGGAGGAAGATTTATGTCAGTACTTAATATTTATTGACACTAACACATACTGAGAATGCGCTAACGAGCTATCGTAAAGAGCAATTTATAGCTTCTAAGGTGACATCTATTACTGAATAACTGTTAATAATTAACGGTTACTTTAATTTTAAATAAAAGTAGAGTAGATGAAATAATTATATATATACTGACCTCCGCCATTCTGGTAGCAGATGTATGGGAACCTCCAGACGTTTCCTAGGTCGACGGCGAATCCGATCACTGCCAGGAGGAACTCTACCTTCTTAGACCAGGTGTCCCTCTGCTGGGTCATCATCGGACCCACGTCGTTCGTCTCCACTGCCTAACAGAAGATAAATGTTAGTCACCAGGATCCAATATATTGATGTATAAGTGAAAAATCGAGTGGATGTAATGAGTCTATTTTCTTAACCTTTGTATTTTTCCTTATGAAATAAATATTTGATGTTTAGTGGTTAATTCGCTAAAACGTGATAATAATAACATATCACCCTCATCTCTCGAAGTCAATTGGTACCGTTAAGTTATTTCATCGCTCCCATCACCAACCCCCACAACCTATCCGCAAGCTCCTTGTATCCTCTCTTATTTTCTCTCACTATGTACGGGTGCATCTCGATAGTACTTGAAGACAGATTGAGACGACTTCTGAACTCGTTAAGATTTGTCTTCGGTATTTCGACGGTGTCTGATGTGTCCTGCCTTTACGACGAGTTAAAGTGGCTCTTTTAATCTTTCCGCCGACAATATTTCTATGATTCTTAACTTTTCCAAAAGATCAAGACCCAGCACTCTTCCTACATCTACAGTCTCCTACAGTTCAAACCCGTGGTTCACTCCCAGAAAACAAAATCCCGTGTTTTCGACATTTATACCCCTTCCCATAGAACTAGAACATTTGAACATTCCTTTATTGTCCGATCCACTGCCTTCTGGAATTCCTTGCCATCTGATATCCACCATGCCTCTTCCTTGTCCACATTCATCTCATAATCATCTCTACCAATTTCTTCTCACATACCAAAATGACGCTGTGCAGTCATGAAATAAATTTTACTAATCAAATTTTGATTGAGGTGAATGGTTGTTGAAATTGTTTGTTTTAATTTTAAGAATCAACTCATTGGGCTTACAAAATTTTATTTTTTATTTTCCCTGATATCTGTTTTTCTTTTCATTTCAATAATGTATTTTTTTTTTCAAAATAGTTTTACTTTTTTGTTATTTACATATTTCACTGAAGATATTATATATATTCTTTAATTTTTACTAATGTAATTTTTGGGCAGATACGGTTGTTTTTTTTTTTTTTCATAATTATTATGCTTAAGAGACCAGTTAACAAAGTTAATTTTCTATTCCAGATAAAAACAACAATATAAATACACCAACTAATGATTTTCGATTTTTTTTTTAATTACATAAGACACGAAATCCTACAGGGACTGGCTCAGTAAGCAAGGCATTGACTTTCAAAGCTCGAGGACTATGTTGGAGTCCGGCTGTAGTAGGTAATTATTTTTTCTGTTATATCAGCCGTTGACCGACCCTGAGATCAGGAGACGCTCCTGGGGCACACCCGACATATATAAAGTGGGTACTTTTAATTAGACAATTATTAAAAGAGGAAAAATATGGAGGTTGAGCGTGAATTCGGCCCCACAATCTCCTTGCACAGCCGTTGCCTTTAAACAGTACTTCCATAAAAAATGCCATCTATGGGTTGTAGTGGTAAATCATTTTGTTTAAGTCCTAAATTAGGCAACAACAAAATTTAAGAAATCAACCTCAGTCATAATCAGGCCTTGGTAGATTTTATTCCAACCAACAAATAAAACACTCATTCAACACAAAAAAAAAATATTACGAAAAAATTAATTTTAAAGTTAACTGAAAAATATTTATGAATAAAATGTTGCGAATAAATTGTGTATTCGATATTTGAAAATGATGAATAAATTAAAAAAAATTATATAGAGTTGGATTATTGAGGATTTTTATTTAATAACGTTATTGAAAATTAAAACCATGAGTAATTTTATAAATTTTCTCTCGGTGAAGTCAAAAGGTAATGTACATAAATTCTATGTATTTCTTTTTACATATAGAATTTTTGTTATTTCGATGAGCATGGCTTTCAATGTCGGTAAATATGACAGAATTTCTTAATTTTATTCTCAAAATAATAATTAGAACCTTTTTTCGATAAACTTAAAATATTTGCTGTTTTAAAATAAACATTCTATGCAACAAATTGATTATTTAAACATTATCCGAATGCAATAAATAAATTTATGAAGAGGAATTGAGCAATATATAACATGGAATTCACAAAGGAAAATTATATAAAATGAACAAATGAAAAAAGGTTTAAAGGATAAATAATAATTTGTTTTAATGACGAAAATAATATAAAATAATAATGAAAAAAAAATTAATGAAATAGATTTTTATTTATAAGGTGCTCAAGGGTGGCACTAAATAGAGAATTCTTAGCTTAATCAAACAGAATTGAAATCAGTTTTATAATGCTTTATTTATACGAAATTTTTATCTTTTTTATTGTTAGTATTTAAGTATTGTAATTAAATTAATTCTTACTGATGTTTCTAAGATTAATAGCAAAACATAATGGTATATTTAATGCAGTATATATAAATTCGCTAATGGTACTATGGTCCAGAAAGTGATGGTTTTGTTATGTATAGTTCATGAATTTTATTTATTTGTATTTTATACATATATTATAGTATATGTACTTATACATACCTATAAATGTACCTTGTATGTTCTTAAATATTATACGTAAAATAAACATATATCCTTAAAGTACATTCACAAATCATCCACTTTCGGAAGAAAACAACATTGACTAAATCTACTATTCTAATACCTGCATTTTGCCGACGAGCCCGATTTAATTTTAATATTTTTATTAAAATAATTTTTTTTTTTTGTTCCTGGAATTAATCTTATACGGGAATGAAGTGAGATAGTCAATTTCATATTATTCTATTTTATAAAAAAAAATATATATAAAACAAAAAGTTGGCTTTTTATCCCCTACCTCGATTTAATTTAATTATTGGATCCTGACCCCCAAAATTCCATCCAGTCATTCTCTAGCAACCCTCCATCCCCTACCTGAACGTCTTTCTTGAACTTTCGATACTTGGCCTGAATAAGACTAAATACTGGGGGCCATTTGATTTTTACTCACTGCCTATTTTCAGTAGTTTTTATTTAGAAATAATTTGTGTGTAATATGTTTCATTGTTATTATGTCATGAGACGTTGAAAAGTATATGAAATTAACACAAGGAAGGTGGCATAATTTACTTAAGCGTTCATATTCGCATTATTGTTGCGTAATTAATAGTAGAAAAAACTTAATGTTTACTATATCTGAAGCTCACGGGGTGAAATAACGCTCCATAGCAGTTCTTCACACAACGTTGAAATATAAATAATTTAATATATCCAAAAATTATCTCATCCCCAGGAACATATACGATACTTGATATTACTCAATGTAGTAACTGTTGAGGATAAATAAAAACAGAGTAAATAATGTTTATGAATTTCATGTTAATTCCATCTTTATTCATACTAACTCATACCACTCTTAGAGAAGGGATGTTGGGAAAATATCGATGTATTAAAATAGCTCTCCCATATATCCAAGAAAGAAAAATATATCCTTATTATATTTTTACAATAAATTTTCTTATATTGTCGGTTGAAAGAGAAATAACGAATAGGTGAATTTATGATTTTGAGAATTCTCTACACCTCGAGTTTCCTTTGTCAAGAAATCATACCCACAGTTTTATTTTAATGTTAACGGAAAAATATTTATGAATAAATTTTTGCGAACGGAAATCATTTACATGAAAAAAATGTTTGCAAATGATATTCAAACTATTAAACAATATGTTTTTTATGCATGATTTTACAATAGCTTTTCTGATATTGTCGGTTCAAAGCGAAATCACGATTAGGTGAATTCATGATTTGAGAATACAAGGTTTGAAATTTCCTTTGTCTTTAGAAAATCAAAGAAATCATTCGGTATTATAACTACAAGAATTATCTTACGGGAGTCCCGTTTTTATAGTCAAATTTTTGCTTTAGGAAAAGGAATCATCTATCTGCATAAAACTACTTGAAGTTTCAAGTGGAAAAAGGTCATTGTAGGGGAAATTGTGTTTATACTATGAATAAATAGGTAAAGTTATATATTTTCTTTATTTCTTCCTTCCATTCAAATTCGAATTAAATATTCGGTACAAAAAGGAGCTGGTGAAGGTTCACATTGGCGATGTATGTCAGTCTTTTAAGATAATGATGGTGATTTTAATTCAATTTCCTCGGAATTTAAAAAATATTACTCATCCATCGCCTTTCTCCAGAGTTTGAAATGAAATTTTAACTTTTATTTGTATTTATTTATTTTTAGGTTATTTTATACTTATTTATTATATATGTATATATCATTTTTCTGTATAATTTATTTTTTTATTGTACATAGAGTGTGAATGTGATTTAGGAACACTATTATAAATGTCTTTTGAGACAGATTGTAATATTTTCAAAAACTTATAACTATAATACAAACCAAATTATTACACTTCTCATTGTTTATTACACATTCAACATAACTATGTAACTTTGTTTTAAGAACTTAAATATAGGCAAATAAAAGTGGAACTTTGACTACATATCTAATACTTTACTACAAAAAAGTTCCTTCAAATTTGAGTTTTAAAAACGTTTTTGCTAACAAATTTCACAGAAACTGTTAAAATGGAACTTTTTAACAAAGTTTCAATCCCTTACATAATTCACTTGAATCTTCGAATATAAATTTTATACAAAATTGAAATTTTTGGTTTTGGACAGAAGATATATTTAAAACTATTTTAATAGTAGTACTCCGTGGTGCAGACCTCTTTTTTTTCGAATTATTAACATCAGGCTGAAACTTCGTAAATAACTTCATCTCATCGTAACCTACAAATATTTCATTTACGAGAATTCTCGGAATTGGAGCGTTTTCAATCTGGAGGTCGGAAATCTTTGTCTATTTAATTAGCTACTAAAAACTCGTAAATACACATTTGCTTTCCACTTCAATCATAAGATATCTTGAGTACGAAATCAAGAAAAATGGCGGCCTTCAAAAATATTGAGCCATTTGGCCTATATAACCTCGTTATTTTAAAAATTTGGGGGTGTAGGTCACCCACGCCAAACGGCTAAATAATTTTGAAGGGCACATTTTTTCTAGAC